TCCTCTCTATCAACACTGGTGAGGCCATATCTGGAGTACCGTGTCCAGTTTTGGGTCCCCCACTACACAAAGGATGTGGAGAAATTGGAGAGTCCAGCGGAGGGCAACAAAAGTCGTGAGGGGGCGGGGGGACATGATTTATGTGGAGAGGCTGAGGGAACTGGGTTTATTTAGTCTAGAGAAGAGAAGACTGAGAGGGAATTTAATAGCAGCCTTCAACTACCTACCTGAAGAGAGGTTCAAAAGAGGATGGAGCTAGACTGCTCTGTGGTGGCAGATGACAGAAAAGGAACAACAATCTCAAATTGCAGCAAGGGAAGTTTAGGTTACATACTAGGAAGAATTTTCTCACTAGCAGGGTAGTAAAACACTGGAATAGGCTACCCAGAGACATAGGTGACACATAGGGGGAGTACAAGGGGGCATGTGCCCCCTCTTGAGATTGGCCACCGCTGACACTGCTGCCGGCATCTGTGGGTGATCCCCACTCACCACTTGCCCACGCTGCCGCCACTGCTGACACCACCACTGGCATCTATGGGTGGTCCCTGTTTGCCGCTGACTACGAATGGTGCCCCACCCCAGTCTTGGGAGGCACCAGTCATTCATGCCCAGAAAGGTTCTGGAATATCCATCCTTGGAGGTTTTCAAGACCCAACTAGACAAAACTTTGGCTGGGATGATCTAGTTGGGGATGGCCCTGCTTTGAGCATGGGGTAAGACTAGATGACCTCCAGAGGTCCCTTCCCTTCCAACCCTAATTTTCTATGATTCTATGACCCCAGGGCAGTGGTGGCCAGGTGTTGGTATCATGGCAGTGGCATAGGGAAGTTCCATCTCTCAGAGCGATGTGCTCGGGATCTCTGCACACTCAGATAGTGTCTCTGTAATGATTAACATTGTGTCATGGTTTCCAGCTTTTCTGATTGGTCCTGAAGGCAGGACATTTTGTCCCTGTTTTAAAAGGACCTGTAGTGGCTCTGAGCCTGGTCCTATAGTGCATTTGCAGAAATCTGGCCCTTGGTACAAGTCAGTAGTGTGCAACTGTCATACCTGCCCAGAGCATGGGCCTCTATTGCCTGGTCTTAATCTCATGGCCAGGTCTACTTCAGTCAATCTGTAAAATGGGAATCTACCATGCCTTCTACATCTCAGGCTGACTCATTTAAACTAACAGGGTTGTGGTATGCAAATGAGAAAGAGGAGCAGAGCACGTAACCTAGTTGTGATGTCACAATGAACACCACTGTGTCACTCTTGTCTACTCTCTGCCTGACCAGTGATTGCCAGGTCTAGACAGGTCAGGCAAAATACCTAGACAACCTCTGGCCTCTCTCCCATCATCACCCCACCCCCTGTCCTTCTAGCCCAGGGGTGGGCAAGTAGTTTGGCTGGAGGGCTGGTTAGTGAGTTTTGGTGAGCTGTTGAGGGCTGCAAGGGTAATCCTACCTCTTGACAGGTATTCTGCCCCCTGGTTGTCATCTTGGGACCAGAAGTCCTGCTTGACTTGTGCTTGCAGGGAAGCAGTGAGGAAGGCCAAAGCAGAAACAGAACTCAGGCTGGCAACAGAGATTAAAGGTAACAACAAGTCCTTCTTTAAGTACATAGGGAGCAAGAAGGCGGCACAGGGTAACATAGGGCTGCTACAGGATGCTACAGGGCAACTCGTAACAGATAGGATGAACAAAGCTGAGCTCTTAAACGATTTCTTTGCATCTGTGTTCCTGGAAATGGATACACACACACCTCCCAATGAGACTTTACTCTGGTGTGAGAGAGATACCAATCCACCAATGGTCAGTGCTGACTTAGTGAAAGGGCACTTGGAGAGGTTGGACATATTTAAGTCAGCAGGCCCTGATGATCTTCACCCAAGGGTACTAAAGGAATTGGCTGGGATCATAGTGAAAAAACTGGTGCAACTGTTTGAGTGCTCATGGCACTCAGGACATGTTTCAGAGGACTGGAAAAGGGCCAATGCGGTCCCTATTTTCAAGAAGGGGAGGAAGGAGGACCCGGGTAATTATAGGCCAGTTAGCCTCACCTCTATTCTTGTTAAGACATTAGGAAAAATCATTAAGGATCACATTTGCAGGGGGCCAGCGGGTAACACAATGCTGAGGGGCAACCAGCATGGGTTTATAGCAGTCAGATTCTGCCTGACTAGCCTGGTTTCTTTTTATGACCAGGTCAAAAAGTGCTTAGATGCAGGAACAGAAGTAGATGTTATTTACTTGGATTTTAAAAAGGCTTTTGACACACTGTCACACCCAATTCTTATAAATAAACTAAGTAGCTGCAACGTGGATTTTTTCAGTCAGGCGGGTAGAAAACTGGCTCATGGGATTCACCCAGAGAGTGGTGGTGGATAGGTCAGTTTCTACCTGGAGGGATGTGGGCAGTGGTATCCCCCAAGGCTCTGTCCTTGGACTTGTGCGGTTCAGTATCTTCATCAGTGATTTGGATAAGGGTGTAGAAAGCACTCTGTCCAGATTTGCAGACGACACCAAACTATGGGGTATAGTAAAAACACACTAGAGGGTAGGGAGGAAATTCAGGAGGATTGGAATAGACTGAGGAATTGGGTGGATCATAATAGGATGCAATTTAACAAAGTGAAGTACAAGGTGCTGCACCTGGGGAGAAAGAATCACCAACACACCTATAGACTGGGAAGTACCATTCTAAGTAGCACAGCAGCGGAAAGGGATCTCAGAGTCATTGTCGGCACAAAAATGAGCATGAGTCGCCAATGTGATGCGGTAATAAGGAAGGCTAACTGCACTCTTTCTTGCATTAGTAGGTGCATCATGAGCAGGTGTGAGGGTTGCCAAAATGTGGAATGGGTTTCCAAGGGAGGTTGTGCTTTCCCCTACCTTGGAGGCGTTTAAAAGGAGATTAGACAAGCACCTGGCTGGGGTTACATGACCCCAGTGCTCTTTCCTGCCCAGAGCAGGGGGTTGGACTTGATGATCTAATATGTCCCTTTCAACACTAGAAATCTGTGAAATCTACCACTACCCCGCCCTCACCCACTGCCACTGCCACACTTCCCATGCTGCTTCCCTAGCTTCCCGCCCACATGCAGCCGACCCTCCTCTCCCCTCTGTCCACTTGCTGCATCCACTTTCCACCCCCACCACTCACCGCTGTTGCTGCCACCACCACAAGCCTTATACCCACTTCTCCTTTCGACCACTGCTTCCCTACCTGCGGGGCCAGGATCAGGGCTGTCCTGCAGGTGAGGGTGGGAGTGCAGTGTGTGCTGCCCCCAGAGGAGTGAGGGGGTGCTTGGGCTCAGGGGCAGCCCAGGGCTAGGCTGGATCCAGTAAACTGGTAGGCACCCACCTGCAGGCTGGATGAAATTGCCTGGTGGGCTGGATCCAGTCCATGGGCCATATTTTGCCCTCCCCTGTTCTAGCCCATGTCCTGCCCTCCCCCAGTCTCCTCGTACACTATTCCCAGGGGGTTTCAGTACCTGACTGCAAAGGAGACAGGCCCAGGCAGCGTTACTTGTAGAAAGATCTGCAGGGATGGGATGGAGAAGAGGGCAGGGATGCAGGTTATCAGATCCATGAACTTGTAGCACTGCTGGGCTGATTTCCAAAGTAATGAGTCTGAAAAGTGTGGGTTGGTGGAGACAACACCACTGATGTCCAGTGTCTCATTTCACAGCAGATTCATTCTGTTAATTCACTTGACTGGTAATAATTTGCCCAGTTTCAGCAATTGCTCTTTGTACTCAAATCCAAGACAACTTTGAAGTTAAGATGACCCCTGCCCCTTGGAATTTCTATGCATGGAAAATTATATATTTGTTATAATTTTCCATGTATAGAAACTAACGATTGGAACATCAGCTTAAATTTGTCCCTCCCAACACTGTGGGAGAGGCAGAGGATCAGACCTCACCACCTTACCTCCCTGCCACTTGTCCTGCTCATGTCTGTGCCCCCAGCACCTGCCCTCCAATACTTACCCCTGCAACTTGCCTCCCCCACCCCACCTGAACCCATCTACCTACTGCCCTCACTTACTCTGTGGCAGCTCTGGCCTGGCCTCCAGCAGTGGCGGCAGTAGCAGTTGGGGCCAGAGCCTCAGCACCTCCCCTGCTGCTATGCCAGGGGTGGGCAAAATGCGACTCAGCCATGCAGGGGGGGTGGAGAGGAAGCCCCTGCCACGTGGTTCCCCCCCAGCTGCTCTTTTTGGGGAGGGGGGGGGGGGGGGGGGGGGGCTGGGCCTGTGCAGCAGGGGAGGGGCATGCCGGGCAGCGAAGCAGGATGGTTCCTGCTTGGCTGGGCTGGGCTGCCCTTGGCAATGTCCAGCATGGTGGGAGGCATATGCTAACACCCCCACCTTCTAGCCTAAGCCAGTGAAGGCATCTTGCCTCTCCATACTGAAGGGCAAACATATGTATCCCATCCATGCAGCTTAGACAAATTGACATAGATTGGACCAATTCTGCCTTGGGGTTTTTGAATATCTGTTCTTAGCCTAAAAATCAAGGATTTAGCACAGACAATGATTTCACGGTCCATTATCATCTACCAGATACTCACTAATCTCTGCACTTAGCCAAGATCATTCAGGAGAGTCGCTCTCTCCTGTTATCTGATAATTTCTCTTATATCCGGGTTTATATTTGCATATTGAGTTTTAGCTTTTGTTTTACCACATTACTCTTGACACTGCTATATTAAGTGAAAACAAACTCTTATAAAAGAGGAGCTCTACATACCACACCAAAAGATGTCTTATTTATCTGTTTTTCAACAAAGTTTTTTTTTTTTAACCTCAAAACACTGTCCTCTAGCTCTGTAAATTGAGATTTCAAAATCATAATTTTATTATAATCTGAATAGAAGTGATATTTAAAAAGCGGAAAAATGACTATACAAAGAATTTATAGAACATTCATTTACATACTGGATTTTTTGTTGACGTTTTTTCTTTTTACTCTTTAACGAAAAAGTTAAAAATATTCACGAATAGGTAAGGCAGAGAATGAAACATCAGAATTTTAATGATACTGTTGGATACATGGGAACCATTTAATTAAAACATGGTTTATAGCAGTTCTGTAGTTTAACACTGTAAGATTATAGCAGTACATTTAACAAGCAGATTAACAGGACGCTGGCTAAATACATGTGACAACTTGCTGGCATTATTTATGAGGCTGCATATACATATCTACCAAAATCCTTGGAAAGAAAGTGCTGCGATAACTAATTAGTCTTGTATTTGCCATGAACGGAAGTTCTGTGAATGCACTTTTAGATATATACTACACTATTGTATATACTGTACTATTTTGTGTGTTTTAAAAATTGTTTCTCAGGAAAACAAAGCATTTGGTAACATACTATAAAAAGGAATGCATATTAGAAACACCCTCTTAGTAATCATGGCAACTTTCTCCTCCTCAAAAGCCTGCAGTACCAGGATTCCTTGCCCAGCACCAACAGTGGTGCACTCTTGATCCTTGGCTCCCTGTTGCTGCTGAATTTGTTAGGCCTTTATAATGCACAAGGAATTAAGAATAAAACCCCAGATGGCCATAGCTACTTACTGAAAATCAAACTTCTTACCTTCAGCCCAGAGAAACATGCCTTAGTGGTCAACACCAAGTTGGCCTAATTCAAGAGACATGTACGCTTTAATGTGCATTAGCCTATTTTAATGCACATTAAAGCATTACTTTATAAACAGTGCTATTTACTTAATGAACATTAAGCATCACTTAAAAAGCATGCTCTTTAGTTAATGCGCATTAAGACAGGCTAATGTGCATTTCCCGATCTCACAATGGAAGTACTACACTTAATGAGCATTAACTAAAACACATTAATGCACATGTAGACATGCCCACTCATATCTAACTTAACTCCTAGAGACACAGATAGGATTTGAAGTTGCCATGGGCACATTCTGATATGTTCACTGGGTAAGTTTCACTGCAGGCATGATGCCCATGATCTTCCTATTGAAGGACTTAAACCTGGACTCTCATGGACATTTCTGTGGAAGGTCTGACAGCTGGGCAATGGACTGATTTAGACTCCTGGCTCATGAGGATGCTAATTCACCAAATCAAACCACGAGAGACAGGGGCAATCAGAGCCTAGTAGAAGTTTAGCTACTCTAATGGAAGCAACCAGAATTCCTATCTGGGCAATTTGCCCTGATGTTTTTGACAGGGATCAAATTTATTAAAACACCCTAAAAATATCATCCACAGCCTGAATACATTCTTTTTACATGGCATATAAACATAATTAGATTAATGAAACTTTGATAAAAGAATAAAGGGATCAGGTACACATCAGAGGCACTTGTCTTTGCTGCTTCAACGGTAGCTATGCTTTGGACTGCTTAATCTTTCTATTTACATATAGTGCCGCAATTCTGTGCACGGTCCCTGTGCCATGTTCCCATGGCTCTTCTAATTCTTAAAAAATCCTTGATGCCCTTATGAAAAATCAGAAGAACAATCATATAGGAACAAATCAGGGTAGAACAGATGCAGGTAGGTAATTTTACTTATTTACTATATGATTTTCCCATTCCTTGTGATGAGTCTGACTGTGTTAGCCTCTAAACTAGGACAGGTATCAGTCAGCCTAATGTCTCATGCAGTTCTGCATGCAGAAACTTGCTCAATTTTATACCTCAGGTCATGAATATATTGATTCCTGGGTGCCTTATTACTTCTAATACCTAATTCTGGGCCTGATCTTGTTCCCTTTGGAGTACATTTATATTTTACTATGGACTTCAAATGGAGCCTCTCTCTTACTGGGGTTATCCCAAGTAACCTGCCATAGTCTGTAGTACTTTACCCATCATGAAGGCCAACTACAGTCTGAGTAAAACTCAGGTACCTAGAATGTTTATCCCTTTATAAATATACCTGGGCACTCTACACTGGGTTATAAAATCATATGAAATACTTCTGACAGATTTTCAAATAATGACATGAAAGCTCTTAGAAATGGGGTAAGGTAACACAATATATTTTTCCCTTTAGATATCTTGACTCAAGAAAGTATTTAAAAATTCAGCTATAAAACTTAAATACAGTCCATTAAGAAAAAAGAAAATGAAAAAAAAAGAAAAAATGTGCTGGAAGAATGACTGTAAGTAACTACGGGGCGGGGCAGCTTATGTCATAGTCAAAACATTAGTTCTGGAAGGACGGGAGATGGGACATGGTTTAACACTGTAAGACAAGACTTAGAATATGAAACTCTACTCACTACAGCAAAGCACATGCAACATGCTATATTTAGGCAAAATAGTATTAGGAAGGCCAAGCAGAACAATGGCACTATTATAAGAATATTCATATAGTATATTGAGATCTGAGGTCTACTATAAATAATCTGGCACCAGCAAAAATATATAAATTATACAAAATCATTTTCTTCTTTGCTTTTCCCTCATTTTTATCCTGCAATTATTAAAATAGAGATCTTCCCTGCTTACCTTTTTGTATAAAAATAATAATAATAAAAAAAAAAATCCAGTCATGGAATACTTTTCTGCACAACCTTTTTTTGGTCAGCTCCTCTGCTTTAAAATTACACATGCTAAAAAACTCAGCTTTCCTCACACACAAACTACTGAGCCATCTGCCCTGAAAATGCCATGCCTCTGCACCCTTAGAAGAAATTACCCTGCACTAACCTGCATCTAACATACATCCTGCACCTTCTAACTTCAGCTCCCACTATTACTGTATAAAGATGAAGGGAAGAGCAAATGGTCCTTCACAGACCCCCATTCTCTTAAGAACATCTGTTTGCATGGGCCATAGCTACCATTGATGCAATTGTGGCAAGCGTATAAGAGAACATATGTGGTTCTAACATTTTTTCAGCATAAAAGTAGAATGATCTGATGAGTGGGGGCAAATGCCTTTTTTTGAGAAAAGAAAATACATTAAAATCCCTTTGCTGGAAAGTCGTCTACATTTAATTTAGATGTGGGCTACATGACTTTCGGTGATACTCAACTTGTTCAGTTTGCAACTCTGCCTTTGATATAAACACCCAATGTTTTGATAGATCAGAAATGTCTTCAAAGAAAGGAGCATGCTCTCTGTGCTGTTAGCGAGACAGAACTGTCCTCTGCTTTCCTTCAGTGGAAGGTGTAGCAGCTGAGGAGTGGTTAGGGTCAGATGATGTAGCTGCATATTCCCAAATATGGTTTTACCCCTGTATCGCCTTCGCTGGAGCCAGCAAAGAGCTCTGGACTGCAGGCCGGGAAGGCTTCAAATCTTCTTCTGGGAACCAATCATAACCTTTGACACAAAGTTCACAATGGCGCTGGCGGGCTGTTCTGGATCATGCTCTGCAAACAGGTGGCACACATTGTCTGTGGGACTGCCTTGCTTCTTTGCCACAAATCCAAACACTCTGCAGTGGGCAAAACGAAAGTATGTTAGCGAACAGTCAGACAGACAGATGGCAACAAGTTTGCTTTGGAAGCAGAAAAAAATACTGCTTGAAGAAGAAAAGGCTTTCAAGGCAGTGTGGTCTGGTGGGGAGAACATCAAATGGGACTTGGGTTCTATTTTATTTCTGCTTTGCCAGCGGTCTGCTGTATGAAGCTAAGCAAGTCACTTCACCTCTCTGTGCCTCAGTTTCCTCACCCAAAAATGCTGGGATAAGGGTACTGGCCTCTTATGTCACGAAGTCTAAGTTCTACTGATGGAAATGTGTTAAGTAATTCTGGCTGACCAAAATAAATAATCAGTCACACATGACCTAGATTAATTTATTGGAGATCATGTTGTTTGGTGGACCGGGCAGAGGACTGAGGGTCAAATGAGCTTGTGCCTATTTCTGGTACCACCACTGCCTCACTCTTTAGGCACACTCAAGGCACTTATCCCTACAACTGAAAAAGCACAGGCTAATTCTGTGCAGGTTTTGGGTGTCCATCTTGGCACAACTGGTGACTACTTCTCAGAGTAGCTGAGCACCTAGAATTCAGATGAAGTCAACAGACTTGTTATATTGGACTCAGACACTACTTTCACCTCTTAGCAGCTGTTTTGCTGACAAGTAAGAAAACAGTTAGTTTAGAAGATACCCTGAAAATAAAAGCCTCTATGCTAGAGTCCATATGACTAATCCCATTTTTAGAAAAGGGAAATATTGGTGTCACTTTAGTTAAAGACAAGAGAGCTGACAGTCTTCAAACTTACCATCGTCTTAGAAAAAATAACACCAAGTTTCTCTCTATAATACCTGTACAAAGTGCTTCAAACCAGGCTAGAAAGGACTATCTCTAGTGTATTTCTGCCCTGGTTGCTTCAATCCTTGGTCTCACTAACTTGTTGACAAGAAACACTAAATGTGGGGTGGTGTGAGATGACATTGCAACAACGTGCAGTGCTACCTGTTAATACACAATAGACATACTTTAGACATGCAGATGAGAACCACTCTCAACTTACTTTGCTGAAAGGCCATCTTTCATCCACCTTGTTGTGTGCAGAGGGGGAATAACAAGAGGCGGAAAAACAAAGAATACATTAGCTCTTGTAGATCAACAACATCAATATCACAAAATAACAGTAAGTGTTCGTCTTCCTTACTTTCTGTCCTGTGGATCCAAAGCACAAAAAATAACAGTAGTGACAGGATAATGCCTCCGGAAAAAGAGTCTGTTGGGGGAAAATAAAATAAGTTTTAGGCATTCCTAAGATTTTAAAAGGTTTCAGAAATAGAGATGACACCAGCAACCAGACATCCAAGAACTTCACTCCCATTTAGATAGTAAAAAGGGGACAGATTTTCAAAGGACTTCAAGCGTTGTCTGAATAGGAGCTGCTGGGTGCTTCTGGGAATCCAGCTCCATAGATAATGACATTCCCAATCTAGGGGTAAATTCTGCAATGCACTGTTTCTTGGTAGGTTCTGAGGCCCTGAGCATCTCCGTATTCAGGAGCAGTTAGGTGCCAGTGCCTTCTAGAAAACAAGCAGCAGCTTGGAAGACTAGGGCCTCACTGAAAAAAATAAGGCCTTTTGTTATGACTGTAGCCAGGTATAGCTGTTACATTTCTACTGGGAGAATCACCAACCCCCTGGTAGAAATGACAAGTATACAAACATTCATTCAATTTTTTCTGGCAGAAACATGCGCCTTTTGGGAGAAGATCTTCCATACATCACCCTGGAAGATTTCCCTTGCAAGAGAGTTTTTCTTGCATTAAAGAATGCCTGTACACTTCCTTCCCAGTCTGATCTGGGAGGGGAGGGGAGCAGCAGGGACTTCATGGGGCATGCACTTGGGGAGGGAAGCAGTGGGATAATGATCCCTGCCTCTTCCTCAGACCAGGAACTGGGTACCAGGTCTGGGTAACAGGTAGGTGCTTTGCCTGGGAGCTCTTCCTGGGGCTGCAGCCACAGAAGGAAGCTTGGCCAGCAGCCGAAGTATGGCTCCGGCCAGACAGGCTCTAGTTTTGGCTGGTACATGCTGCTGCCACGTGTGCCGCACTGCTTTTTTTAGCGTGGGTTTTTTGGACTCTGGGATCCAGTAGCAGCATTCAAAATTTTTTAAAAATTTCCTCTGCTAGAAACGAATACTTATTCAAGGCCTGAATTTATCAAGCAAAACAGTATGTGAGGACCAACTCATTTAAATGCTTTGCAAATAAAAAGTAATGAAATAAGAGAACTGAATAGCTGCATCTTTGTAAAATCAGCAGCCATATTTTTTTGCTCCTGCTTTAACATACATGCACTGTCAGACGTGAGTTTCAGGGACAGGACGTCCCACCAAACTGAGAAGAATGAATATGTGCTCAGAGTACTAATGTAAAGATAATGGCTCACAAGAAATAGAACAGAAAACTTGCTTCCAAAGTAAGGCAGAGCACCAAGATTCTCAAAATCCTATGTCCAAAGTTGGACACCTAAACAGAGGTGACTTTAGTGGGAGATGTAAGCACTTGGGAACCTCTGAGAAATCACACACATTATGGATTTAAGTTTAAGCATTTATTTACTGAAAATTTTGGCTTGAGGTTTACCTCTTTAGATTCAGACCTATCTCAAGGGGTTGCAGAGCCATGGAAACCAAGGTGTTTCATGTGCGTTTTGAAATCTAAAGACCCTCACAGTCTTTAGTAGAGAGCAAATGGAATTTAATTGTTAAGAAAGCAGCTTGCCAGCATGAGGCACACCAAAGCAGTGTCCTAAACACTGGCAGAGGAGAGTCTGCTTACACCAACATTGCTCAGCAATGGCTGAGACACACTAGAGAACACAGCCCATTTCAGTAAGTATGGTGGATGGCAAAAGCTGTCCTGAGCACTGGAATTACCTCCTGTTCTCTGAAAATAATACTGTAGGACTGCTATCATTTGGAGAGGAGAGGTAATGTTTGGAGAAAGTGGTGGTAGCTCAAGATTTGCTTTCCACTACTGTAGAGAGTGCATGCTATGGGTTGGATCTGCTGTTATCATTTAGACCAAGGATAACTGCACTACTGTGTCTGAGCTACAAGTAGACTGCAGTGCTGAATAGGGCTAGACATAGTTACTCCACAGCAGCTTTATTAGTGTAGAAGCGTCAGACCAGAGTCAGAATCGGACTTCACTCACTTTCTTTGATTGTCCGTCAGCGTGATCCCTTGGGCAGACACCTTGAAATGGACCACAGTAGAGATGGGAGGAGGATCTTGTATCAACATCATGCTCAGGGCTTTTTGCACTGCCTGGTAGCCTGTAAGAGACTCCATTTCCACAGAATTCAGGTACCAGACATTGCATGCTGGAAAGAACAAGGGAAAGGCTTCAGGAGTTATCTTTGTCTTTGCTTATAAGGCTCCTGCTTGATTCTCTCTGGGATTCCTGCCTAGTTTCAGGGTTATTTCATTAGCTTCTCCTTACACTTGTCATGTTCCACTTTAGCTTTTGTTTTTTTAATCTACATTGTACAGTCTTGGGGCAGAGGCATCTGGCATTTTGATGATATGTCTTTACAGTACCCACAATACAACAGTGCCCTTCACTTGCAGGTACCTTTGAAATCCAAATGACAGACAACAAAAACAGCATTGAGAAAGGGCACTCCTAGGACTGACTACAGCAAAAATGTGACCGTGGGAGGGGAAGTCAGCATTCCACATTGAAACTCAATTACTGCAGCTAATATAGAAATACCAGGGTTCACAGTTTTGCAGTGTCAGTTCATGGATAGTCATGCTTTCAAGTTATATCTGAAGTGCATTCAGTCAAAGGAAACGATTCACTTGTTTGGCAAGACAACAAGAACATTTTCTCCCTACAAAGAAATTAGGATTATTATGTAGTTCTACTTCTTTAGTGATTTACGTATTCAGTAGTTTCCATGCGAACAGCAACTTCAAGAAGAATGGAATAACTATTTCTGATCTTGTACATCCCTTTTTTAAAATGGGGTCTAATTCAGAGTTTGTCTGTTTTGGGGAGTTCAATGACAGTCCTAAGGGGACATGAAGTCATAGAGAATTAGGGCTGGAAGGGACCTCCAGGGGTCATCTAGGCCACCCCCCTGCCTGAGGTAAAATAATCTTTATCCAAACTATCCTATACAACCATAATCTAATCTAAACCAGGGGTGGGCAAAATACAGCCTGCCAACTGACTGGATCCAGTCCACGGTTGCCCCCATGGTGCTATGCATGGGCCAAGCCACAGTCGCTTCAGCCAAGGCAGCTGGGTCCCGAATAGTGCGTGCAGCTTCTGTCAAGGCTGTTCCTGGTGTTGCTCTGCTCCACTCACCCTCCAGCAGGAGCCGCCTGGCTGAAGCTTCCCCCCCCACCACCTGCCTAGAGCACTGCATCAGGGGCAGGAGTGGGAGAAGGGCCTGCTGCTAGAGGTGAGGGGAGCAGAGCAGCACCCAGGCGGCTGCAGCTGCACTAGGAACAGCTCTGCTGGAAGCTGCATGCACTGGCTGGGGCCTGAGCTGGCAGGGCTGTTTTGCTTTGCTTGCCTCTTCCTACTGTTTCTGCCCTTACTGCACTGCTCTGAGCCAGGCAAGCTTCAGCCAGGCAGTTCCTGTCTCACTGCATGGAGCTCTTGCTTCAGCTCCCAGCTGCCTTCCAACCACTCTTCGAGACAGGAGGAGCTGCCTGGTAGAAGCTTTCCCCCCGCCACCCACCCAGAGGGGCTCAGCAATGGCAGGAGCAGGAGGGGAGGCCACATTTGGAGGTGAGAGAAGCACAACAGTCCTGCCAGCCCAGGCCCCGCTGTAGTAAAAAGACGTTAGCCCCCATAATTTTGCAGTAATGCTTGAGCAACAACCATATGATAGAAGTGTCTTATGACCATTGTATGACCCTCTTGTGTAAAGATCAGGAGGTCTAATGTCCAAGCTGTGGTCTGTGGTTCTTACTGCTTGCCTTGCCTTTTGAAATTATCTCTGTCCAGTGCCTTAAGGTTACGTTAAGACAGGCAGTTACTAAAGTTTAACTAACTTTGTTGAAATTGCTCTTTTCTTCTGAGCATGCTGCAATTCTACCTTTGAGTGTGCACGTACTAACCCTGATAAGTCACATTAACCAATAACTAGTTAAGTACAGCCTACAAGATCAGACGTCACAATTAGGAACTGGTACTGCAGCCAATAAACTTCTAGTACGTCAAGACTCTGTTGAATGTAAGCTATAAAAATGTAATTCCAGGCCAGACTCATGGTCTGCCCTGATTTGAGCTCTCTGCTCCCTGGTCGAACTGTTTGCAAACAATAAACCTAAATGGATCCAGCCTGTATGTGTGACTCTCTCCTTGAGGGTAATTGAACAAGCCTCCAGGGGAACGAAACTAGTCGTTTTGGCAACACCGCCAGCATACACAGCTTCCAGCAGGGATGTTCCTGCAGCCAGCTGGGTGCTGCTCTATTCCCCTCACCTCCAGCAGCAGTTCCTCCTCTCGCTCCTGCCCCTGCTATGCTGATTTCTGCAGGCAGGCGGGGGAAGCATGAGCCAGGCGGCTCCTACTGGAGGCAAGGGGAACAGAGCAGCACCTTGCTGGCTGCAGCTGCACTGGGAATGGGGGGGAGGGAGGGTGCTGGCCCAGCTCATGACAGCTCATCAAAACTCCCTACAAGCCCCTTATGCCCAAATACTTGCCCACCCTGATCTGAACTCTACATAAGACTACCATCAACCCTGAACCAGCATAGACCTAACACCCTAACCTGCCGCAGGTAAAGCAGAGGAACCACAACAGCCAATGTCCTGCTCCTATAAAATGTTGTCAATATATGCTCAAGAGGTCTATATCTATAATTCCAGTACAACTGTAATAAAACCACGAAGTTCTGACTTATAGTCATCTACTCCATTTGTATTTCATAGGACATTAGCCATTTTCAATACATCCATATTATCTGTGGCCCACAGGGTTTTAAACCTTCTATAAGGTAGATAATTTATCTCTGGCACCTGAAACCTGACCGCCCATACAGAACTAGAATGTGTGTTAGGACCCCAATCCAGCAAGCTACTTAAGAGAACAAGTCATTTTCTTTACGTTAGAGGCACACATAATTACTATGCTGAATCAGAGCCCACAGTTTAGATAATCCCACATAGTTTCTGTATATAGATAAAGAAACTCTGAAATTGCAAAGCTTGTTTAGTCCTATGGTACAAGTCCAATCAACACCCATTTCACAGGATAAACACAAGCCAATGGTTAACTCAGCTGTTAGCAAAATTTGTTTCTTGGTAGAAATATTTATATAGGTATCTGTACTAAACCTGATAATTATGTTAGTGTGCATTAATTAGCATCGTTAAAGCACTGCCTCAAATATGCTTTTATTAGACCAACTAAATAGTTAGAAAATTTTTTCTTTGCAAGCTTTCAGGTTTAAAAACCCTTCATCAGGCTGAGGAAGCATCTGCAGTTGGTGTGGTCTCTTCCTGGATGGAATGAAGAGCACACACCAACTGCAGATGCTTCCTCAGCCTGACAAAGGGTTTTTAAACCCAAAACCTTGCAAAGAAAAAATGTTCCAGCTATTTAGTTGGTCTAATAAAAGATATCAGATTTACCCAAAGAACCTTGTCTGCCTATGTCCTTAGACGAACACAGCTACAACCTACGCCATTGCCTCCCTCCTTAAGAAATCAGAAAATTACCAGCTGTGCTTTACACATGGCTCCCCTGTAATTTGTGGAAAGACTCTTCCCTGTTTTTACAGAAGACAGACACATGGCTATGCTCTGACACTTTCAAAGTACAAACTGTTTTTAGACAGATTTAATAAATTTGCCATTCCAGAAAGAATATTGGGCACCTTTCTGTTTTTTTAAACCCAGTGGCCTCTGCTTGGACTGAAAGCTGGAATGAATTTGGTCCACAGGTAATTGTTTAAATAAAAGGATGGAATAGATGGAAAAAATGCAGTGATATGAACCAATGATCTGCTTTTAGATTTCATCTGGTTCAACTTCAGACCATGGGCTTAACCCATGACTAGATTCCCTCATTATGAGTGAAAAAAAATCCTAACCCATTTTCAGGTATTGCCTCAGTCACTTTGCTTGAATTAATTACAATGCAATTCATTCAGGCCAAGGTCTCACATGTAGCATTACACTTGCACAGGCTGCTGGCTGGAGCGTGACAAAGTTGTATCAAAGTCCACTGAGAGAACGATATGGGGCTACTCCTTTGCAACTGTCCTTCACTAAAATCTGTATGCATTTCCCTAATTTGGATAAACACAACATTTTCTCACATACAGTGTGCCCTGGAATAAGACAGACACCTTGTTTTTGAAAGGCAGAATGAAGAAAAAAAAAATGTTTCATCATAGTAAGTAACTGAGTAGCAGCCGCCGGGAAACTGAGCCTGCTTATTGTTGTCTGCTCCCTGTAGATCCTATGTGGATTTTACTTTTGCTCTGTAGGTGGCAGAAACAGTTCTTACCATATTTCTTGCATATAATGCACACTCTAATTTCCAGCAGCTGCTTTTTGGAAAACGGTGTGTGGTACGTAATAAAATATGGTAACAGACAGCCTGGTTTCTTGGAGCTTTAGGAGCATCAGAAAAGAATGTGATAGTGGCAGTGGGACATAGGATTTTTTTTCAATGAGAACAGACTAGAATTTTTAATTTAAGTGTACAATTTATGCTCTGAACTGATGCAAACAGAACTCAAATGCTAGTGATTCCATAGCATCAGTTTTGGTAGCAAGCACAAAGGAAAGATGACCATGCAATGGCACTCACCCTACAGTATAGTTTTCTTTTCTTTGGTCCGTGGCTGGTACTTTGGAGTTCCACATTCATGGTAAGGAAGAGAGCACTCTCTACTTCTCCTTTCCGATTTAGCTACAGAAATGTTAACCTAGGAGCGTATCTTTATTTTGTCTTTTTAGATTGCAGTAAGTGTACAGGGTTGTCTCATCTGATTTACCAAGCCATAGTTGTTTACATGTAAGGTCTGCTGTTTAGACAAGAAGTTGACTATCTGCTTGGAGTGACAGCTTTAATTAATACTGAACTCAGTATCAAGAATGTTTGTGTGACAGGAGAGAAAAATGTTTGAACTAAACAAAGTTAATGTGAAGTGATGCAGGCTACCAGTGTTTGAACAAGGCATTCCAAGTGGTAGGGCAAAGACACTGGATCCCCAAATGCCCTTTCCTATTTAGGTTCTAGGTCACTGTATCTAAATTAGACAATTATTTAATTTTCACATGATCTTTAAGGTGACATTTCCCACACGTAGCTGCTGCTAACAACTATTCATGGAAGAAATAAAAGAAATACAGTTATTTCTTTGCTCTAAGAAGGTTAAACATTGCCTGGACAATGAGAACCCAGCTAGATCTTGAGAATAAATGCAGGCCTTTTATGATGAGTTTATTTATGCAACTTTTTCTTTCAAATTCCTCCTCCTTGGCTCTTCCTTTAGTGGCCACAACACCCATGACTAGTAGTGGCAGACAAATGACAACACACGCGCACTTCCAGCACAGCTTGGCCAATGCTGACTATTGCCTCAGGCACACGTTCCTACTCAATTCAAAGTATCACTGCAATTTCTATAGTCAAAACAGACTGCTTCCCAATTACGCAGCAGTGCTGTTTAGCATGGTATTTTTCTGTGCCGAATGCTTTGTAACAGGTCAGATCAGCTACGCAGCACTCTGAGACAGCAGGAAAACCCTTGCACCAAGATCTTTCAATCTGTGCTTCTGCATTTGGGGAAGCTGTAAGGAAACAGGTGACTAAGGTAATACCCGGCCATCTACCACTGTGTCACTGGGCACCAAACTGAACCCAAGGTGTGACTCAGTGAAGCCTGAATGATATTCCAGTGACCAGGAAATCAGTGGGATATGAGGTTATTATAATACCTTTCTCCAGGGCAGGGACAGATCAGGAGGGGGTGAAGTGGTGTGGTCTTACCCCCTATTACACCACATCACAGGAACAGCAGCCAGGGACTTTCTCAAGTCCCTAAAACAAGTAAGAAAAAAAAACAACCCTCCACCTCTTTTCCCCTCCATGCTCAGTAGCGCATCCCTTTTCCTCCCACTCCTCAACTTGCTGCTGTCCCTGGCTGACCAAGAGGCAGGGGAACCTCCAGAGCTGCTTCTGTCCCACTCCAGCTGGGCTAAGCAGGGATCCAGACTCAGCTGGGGACAATGGCAGTGACAGGTGGGTTTCACCTCCCTGTTTGGTCCCTGAGCTGTTCCCTGCCAGCCTGGGAGCAGGCACGGGAAGGGGAACCTGCCTGCTGCCTCTGCTGCTGGCCGAGCCTGGAGACCCATGCAGCTCAGCTGGAGTGGAGAAGGAGAAGTTCTAGAGTTCCCCCTGTTCTTGGGGTCAGCTGGAATCAGCAACAGTCAGGGGCAGTGGAGAGGGGGGAAATTGGAGGGAAGGGGATGCCATGTACTGCCAAGCATGGAGGGGAAGGAACAGGGTGCTGAAGAAGTGGGAGTGGGATTTCTACCTGATTCAGGGACTTAAAAAAAAAAATCCTTGCTGCAGCTCTTGCTGCATGGTTGCTTGTCCCCATGGGGCTGGGGGGAGGCTAGGAGCAGGGGGTATATCTATTCCTGCAGAACTGGTCAGTGATCCCACACCGCCTTTACAAATTCCTGGATCATCCTGTGTCCCAAGGGTGTACCCACCGCACTGGGGGCTGAGAGAGATGGTCATGGCATAGCAGTATGCCACCTAGCTAGCTAAGGCAACCTTACTCTGACAGAGTGGCATTAGAAAATGCGACTTGGCAGAGGAGGATGGCAGCCCTTAACCAGTGTATTTCTTGGCAAGGGACTATCTCAGATGACAAGTGAAAAAGCATTTTCACATTGGCTATAAATAAAAGGTTATCACTCATGCAAGATATGCCACCTGCAGACAGCTAGATAAACCCCGCTCGTCCAGAGAACAGGACTGAACACCTGGGGTCCTTGACCACTGGCCTTTACCACTCAGCTGGTAGTGGCTGTAAAGCCCCATAGACTCTACAGATCAGCCACTAGAGGGAAAAACTGCATTGTTCCTCACTTCCACAGAGCCAGTGTAGCAGTCTGATTTACCTACTCCCCTTTTATCATCCTTACTCTTCCCTCAGCCTGCAATACACATTCAAGAACAAACAGAGTAAAATCAAACACTGGGGAACTTTACTTACCTGCACCCTGCTTTAGGAGCTCAGCTGCTGAGTTTGCTGCAGTCTGTGGAGAAGTTTCTGTTATCTCCTCCAATGGGTCTGTAAATAGAAACCACCATACACATTGATTTCTCCATCCAAGCTACAGTACCAATCTGAATGCTCAACAAAGAGTCTCATTCTTGAAATTATGACCTCATATGCTGGACAATCCTTGGCCAGAAACAGTAAGTAATTTTCTAACTGCAACGGAGCAGAGTAAAGGGCAGGAAGCCCTTACATTCTGAAATGCAGAGGGAGGGAAAGGTGGGGAGAAGGAGGAAATTGGAGGCTGAGCCCCTGACCTAGGCTCAGTCCAGGAGCCAGTCATGGGCCAACCAGGGAAGTGGGAGGGTTTTGGTGCCAGTTTTTAAAGTGCCCACACATGCTCCTATAGCATGCATGCTCCCGCCTGAGGAATATTCTTCTTCAGTGTGTCGCTGACAAGAAATCCTCTAAGATGGCCAAATATGTTTCAGTGCTGGACTGTGCAAGACAGTATCCCGCAGGGACCTTACATGCAGACAGAGGCAGACTCTTCTGTACCTCCTGCAATGTAACTCTGGATGGATCCAGGAAAACCAGCAAAGACTGGCACTTGGGAGTCCGAGACACATGTGAAGAGGAAGGATGCTGCAGAGGCTGAAGGTTAGAGCATGAAGCAAGTGACCATGTCCTCCCTGTTTAAAAGGACCACAGAAAGCAGCTTGGCAAGGTGAGAGGCAGCATTTTCCCTTGTGAAGGCTTTCACAGCGGTGAACATCCTGCTGGAGAAACTTGATCATCCAAAATTAAGGGACTACTTGAATCAAAATATGCCAAATGCCAGCAATTTTCTGCATGCCAACAAGCTTCACCAAGACTATCCCCCTGCAGTGACTACAGTGGTTGCTTCACATGTACAATCCATGAAGGCTACCTTGGCAGAGTATAGTTTCTTCTCCATTGTAGCTGATGAAGCTGACCCTCAGGATAAATATGTGCTGCACATTTTGTCTGTACTGGGGAGCTGGACCAACCAGGACCTGCTTGTGTTTCAAAGTGAACCGGTCCACCTCACATTTTTTTATTTTTCTACTGTGTCCCAAGCCATTGTGAAGGTAATTGTCAACTACAGTGTAGACTTTAACAAGATTTCAGCATTCCTGTCTGACAATGATATGTACAAGACTCTGTATATGTGCAAGACTCTCCGATGTGCTCCAGTGAATGCTTCCCAATGCTGTTCATGTCATCTGCAACGCGCATGTTCTGTTCTAGTAAGTGATATCTAGTGCATGCAGATCCCCAGTGTGGATAGCCTGGTGTCTTCTTTCAAGAAGCCTTCAAGCACTGTCCAAGTCATAAGGTTTGGTACAGGGAATCCATTGCCAGTCAAAGTGGGGACTCATATAGCACTGTGACACTGCCACCAGAGCCTGTGCTCACATGGTAGAACTCATGGTTCAATGTGGTCCGTTACCACGCTAAGCATATACAGCACTACCAGCAGTTTGTGAGTGAGGAGCTGGAAATCACACCCAGCACACAGTGGATGCACAAGCTTTCCAATCTGTTAGGGTGAGGCGACATGAAGATAAGGTTATATTAAGGAGATTCTAGCATGAACTGTTTAGTTCAAGTTTAAGTGGGTCTTATGCAGCTTTTCTTGCCATTAGAATGGGTCATACCAGCTCATATAACTGAGAGTCATTTGCTTTTTGGTATCTTTTAGGGCTTTAGAGGGAAGCTACATTCCCTTCCAGTTTATGAAGCCCATTTTAAAGGACCTCAATTACTCTTAACCCTGGATCACATGGCTGGCTGCTAAGGTTTGTCAGTAAATTACTACTGAACAGTCAAAAGCTTGTGCTTCACTAATTGGTTGTTTCTGGTGAGGATTGGCACTATCAAAATGTTCCTTAATGGGTCATATAGAAACATTTAGCAGTCTGCAAGAGGTCCACAAGAGGCACTTTGGAATCTCTTCCTTTTAAGTGTTCAACAGAACACCACAAGAATGTTTAATATTTCAACAATGCCTCTGCTACCAATTGCATCTGGGAGAATAAACACGCAATTATGAATTACGGGGCAAGAACTATATAGAAGAATATTGTTGATGTCTTAAAGTGGGTTATGCATCACCACAGTCCAAAATAGCCTCACTTAACATGTGCTCTTAATAATAATTTCTTTTGCAACATTTGGACCCCAGAAAGGCTGCTGCTTTTTCCCTCAGCTTCACATTATGGGCATCTTTCCCACATCTTTCTTAGAGGATTTGTGGTTGAACCTAGCCATACTCGGGTGTGTGATGTTAAGCCGGTGAAATATATATATTTAATAATACTGGATTGCAGTGCTAATTGCCATGAGTCATGAATGACTATTACTGGAATATCACAGTCCTAGTGTGTTCTCATCTCTAGCTTATTTGAGAGCCTCTAGCAACAGTGAAACCACTTTTATAAAAGAAACGTCCTCTCTTGTACATTCTTGTCAGAAGTAAAGTTTTGAACATATTTACCTACCTAAAGATGTATTTAGTTTGAAACAGAACCCTGGATTGTACATAGTTATTTTGTATTTTAGCAAGCTTACCTCTGTCTGGGATGAGCAGTGTGCAGGGCAATGCCAGAGGAGTAATGGAATGTTGATACACCAAAGCTGTCAAACTCCCTGTGGTTAAAAGAGCAACAAGACATGCAAGATTGGCTTCAGTGAACAAAAAGAATGTTTAAGAGTTATGTTGCTTTCAGATATTTTATGGGCTAAAAAAATGTCTTTTAAAAATATTTTCTTGGTGCCTAATCCATTTTTACAACTGCCATTTTTGGTCATTTTTAACAGATCCATTTCTGCGTCACTGTACATGCCTGATTCCATTTACGTTAACTAGCATTACAACTGCAAACCTCGCTATACTATTTGACTAAGTTTTAGTTGAAATGGAAAGATGGCAATCACAATAGTAACTAGAGAGAAGCAGGATTTGTTTGGTAACATCTTTTATTGTGGTGGGGCCAACCATTTTGGTAGGTGTGCCACAGATTAGCCCTGCACCCATCCTGAATGCCACTCCAGTTCTTTTCCTCTGCCTGATATGCTGCTCTGCATTTTGTTTCCTGCCCTACCCTGCTGCATGACACACAGATACTACCCATGCCACAGGTTGGCCGCTCCTGTTTTATTGGACTAACTATAATAGCTCAGAGATAGGTGTCAAATATAAAACGCCCTAATAATATACATATATTAGTGCATTTCATCTAGGTTTAACATAGATAGTCAGAAAGCCCGAGGCTGAATTGATTTAATCGTCACAAGTTTCTCTAAACTGCATAGCTTGAACCAATAATACAGTGAACTGATGTTCAGTTTTGAAACTGGAAAGGCAGCCAGATTCTTGCAGTGGCCTGTACCAGAAGCTGGGGGGGAGGGTGCTAGAGAATGCCTCCCAGCCTGCTGGCCACTACTGAGGGCACCCAAATGCAGCCCAGTGAGACTCATCTTTGATTTGCTGCCCAACACATGCCCCCCAAACATATTGCTCCTCCCCAGTCTGGGGCTGGCTGGATCCCTGTGCCTCAGTGGGGATTCCTGGCCCTTGGCAAGGTCCCCCAAGCCCTGCCTCTGGTGCAGAGCAGGGACTCCCCCTTCCCATCCCTCAGTATGGCCCCGAATGGGCTTGGCCCTGACCCCACAGGTGGGGGACAGGGGGGAGAGTAAGTCCCTCCAGCCCAGGGCTGGCAGGGCTCCCAGCCTCGGTGGGGGGTTCCCGACCCCAGGCAGGGATATGTCCCCCTCCTTCCCCCACAGTCCCTCTGAGGCAAGGGCAGCTGGTGGGGGGGTGGGGCTACATCACTTTTAGTCCAGCTCAGGAGTCGGGTGGCAGGGGGCTGATATGAACCATGGAGGGTGCTTTCCCTCGCCTTATGCTGTGCAGATCCAGCCTAGCGAGGCCTGGGGTCCCTTCCCCTTCCCCCTATCCCACTGTTTTGATGGGCACAGGCAGAGCCTAGGGAACAAAAGCTTTACTGCCTCAAATATTTGACCGGGGGCGGGGGGTGTACTGCTCTGCTGGAGCAGACAGCACAGACCAGGGCTGCAAGGCATCATGGGATGCTAGGGGACTGCCAGTTAACTTGAATCAGTAGGGGATCTGGGACAGAAGTTCCATAAACTGGTTTGACCTAAATCAGTTAAGTCTGATACTATATCCATCCTGTTTATTTTAAATTGGCTTTAGCTATTTTGACAGTGGTTTATGTACACTGAACTTCTGTTACAGGTTTAAACTGGTTTCTGGTCACTTAAAACTGGTTTGTGTGTAACTTCCGTCTCTAGCCCTAAAGACCATAATGCATTTTACAAATGTTAATTTGCCCATGCTTGAAATTTTGAGAGGCAGATGAGAGCAGTTGGTTAACTAACTTGCCTGATGCCACACTGAGGCAGTGAAAGAGCCAGGAAAATGCATTCAAATCATTTTGTGTTCTTAGTAGTGTAAAAAAACAGCTAGAGGAAATCTTCACTTCTAATGGCATGGTGTCTCCAGTTAAATCATTTCTCCTCTTAATGAATGCCCTAAACCTTAGTTTGCTTCAACTGTGCAGTAGGGTTCAGATTTTCAAAGCCACCTGCAGTATTGCACCCTTTGCTCTCATTAAAGTAAGTAGATCTTACTCAATCTTATGCTGTCATTACATTCTGTATTGTGGGGAGCAACCTAAATGAACATGCAGCATTGGTCAGTCTATTACTGCAGGAAGACATCAGTCTTTAATTTTAGATACTCAAAATATTAACAGATATTCCAATCAAACCTGAGTTCTGTATCAAAAAACTCATTTTGTTTAGATTATCAAAAACTTTTAAAATAGAGCCATTCCTTCAATTGCTGAGGACCCGCATTTGTTACTGCTGTGAGGGTGCTTGACCATTTGTAGATCTTGGCTCAATTGGGTCCCGTACAGCTATAAAAAGTTCCTTTGTAGAAGGTGAGGGATGGGGCAGGAAGAAATGGCTGTATAGAAAAAGAAAACAGTCAGAGGTGAACCTGGAGATGGGCAGGAGGGTCACTGTGAAGTCCTCCCACTGTAGTGAGAAGGTTAATCCCTGCTGTTGCTATGTAGACACTTCACAGGAAGGGAAGAGTTCTCAAGCCCTAAAGAATCTGTCTAATGTTTGGTCTGGCTACTTGGACTGGTTGCTGTACAGATGGTGTGTATCTCTCAAGTTAAGATGGGCCAAAAATTGGGAGCAAGTTCTCCAGCACACCAGCATGCATCAGCACAGGCCCACAGGTTAGATAGCTGTGCAATCTGAAAAGCAAAGTTCTCTGATAATCTTTAATCCTTGAACAGTGCAGAATATATGAAGGGAATGCTGCTTCTATTAGGCATACAGAAGACATACAACACACCCACAGCATTTACTAAATCAGATGACTGCTAGAGAGGAGCCTGGGAGCTCAGCTCTTTGTCACAGATTTCCTATCCACTCTTTGGCAAGTCATCTAAGTGGCCTGAGAAGCCAAGGCCCAGATTCAGCCTTTAAAACATGCAAGTGGCATCTATGCAGGTTTTAGGTGTCTAAGACACTAAATACAATGTGTATAAACCATGCATATATTCCTGTTTCCTTAGACAGAGAAAAAGCAGGCTGGCCAACTGCAGCTGAAGGCAGTGAAGGGGCAGGCCACCCACCTTTTTTCCAGCAGCCTGAGTTCCGGGCCCAACTCTCAACCTCTCGCCCAGGGCAGGTGGTTGCTCTCGTAGAAGACAAGGAGGGCTGGGTTTTGGCCCCTGCTCCCAATGCTCTCTATGCATTTTGTATTAAACAATTACTAGATAAAATGAGTGGAGTCTGCTGCCTCCTCCTCTCTTTACGCTAAAGTGAAAGCTGCTGTCTGTCCATCAGATGTAAGTTAGGTAGCCATCACTCTTCTGAATGAGCTGTATCGGTACTAGATAGAAGTGGCTGGAGAGAACAGGACAGCTACTTGCCAGTTTCTCTCCCCCTCAGGCACAACACAGCCTTTTTGGGCTGGTGGTGACAAAAACTACAGGAACTTATTAAAAATCAAAAAGAAGAAAATGAAGACATCAGGACTCTGTGTGTGAGAATATATAGAATAAAAGTGTAACAGTGGCTCTGATACTATGGTAATGTCCATACACATGCTTTAGACAAGGCCATACACATGCTTCACTCAGAGGTAAAACTGAACCAAAATCTCTGCTTTAAAATACTTTTCAACCCAAATGTTCACACATTTCACTCCAGTTTTGGTTTGGGACATCTTTGCTTGTGACATAACCTGTAATTTTTATACATACTCCTTCTAGAAAGAGCAGTCCAGCAGAGATGATGTATTTTATTACAATGGTCCAGCTTGCTTGGATTCTACCACAATACAACTTTTCTGTGGCTGTCTACTCTGAAGTCACGGTAAACAAGCTGGCTCAGGTACTGCTAGCAGTCCAGCCAAACAAAAAAAGCCAAAACCATAACTAGGACATAACTAGGTGGTTAGCCTACTGAGCTTGGTGTAACACCCAAGCTAGAGAGCTTAAAACCATGCAGACATACCTACAAATCTGTATAGAAGATCATTTGTATGATGTTTATATATTTCTATTTAATATATATTACATATATGTTTACATACATATATAACATGGAGTTTAACACAAACCATTGAGGTTCTGTTTTCTGTTATTTAGCCTGGCCTGTGTCTGATTCTTTCATAGATCTGAAGAAGGATGCTTTCTGTCTGATCTGAAGCAGGAAGTTTGTCAAAGTTCTCTCCCAATTATACATTTGGTTTAATAAAAGATATCACAAATGAACAAAAAAACAACTCCTTACCTCTTATGCACTTCCTGGACCATCATAACTATTGCAACACTCTAGCCCTACTACATTTATATGTGGGGATCTACCCAAATCACAATTGCATGAATTTTGCAAAATTGGGCAATCTCTGTGAAATCCAGGGGAGGGGGAGGGAAAAAGGCCTTAATAAAAATAAAATCTTCCCAGACGTATTGTCCGCCTGGAGGGAAGCGGGGCTGCCAGCACAAAGGCCATTGCCTCTGCTCCTCGCTGCCGATTGCTGATTAGGTGAGAGGGCTGCCTGTCATATGGCTCCACCCCTCTGCCAATCAGTGGCTGGTGCTGCAAACTGCCCATGAAATTGGTTGGCTGCCTCGTTAGACCCCTATTTATATAACAGCATTAGAATAGGTTCCACACAGGAACCATCTCTCAAGTCAGAGAATGTTTCCCTCCTATTGCATTCCACCTAACACTATAAAATAGTCTTGGTTTATTTAAAATACCCTAATTTTGTACATCCTGAGATGTACTTTACTTACCAAAATATGGCTCATTTGGGCATCCTTTCAATCGTACTCCCTTATGGGTGCACTCAATCAGAAAATGCCTTACAAGTTCATTTGACAAATCCCCAACTGTGGGAAAAACAAAACAAAACACGTGGAGTCAATGAATAAGAGATGGACTCACAAAACAAGGGGTCTTTATGATGGTGGTTTCCTTAGGACAAATGAATTCTTTATAGAAAGCAAGCAAACAGTCTACTAGTTGTGCCACCTCTGTGTTATAATCTACAGTGAAAAGGACACTCTGTAGCACATGCGAGTGTACTCTACAGGTTTTCCAGATTGGAAGCAATCAGTACCCAGATGAGTACCTTTGTTCAATACATTTAGGACATGCCCCAGTCATTCTATACTAACTGGAAGGTCAGAGAAAACAGATCGTTTGTTTCTTACCTCCTGAGAGCAAAGGAGGAAATGGATGGGGCTGAAGAGTAAATCAAAGCAAACTGCAATAGTAGCTAAGAAGAGAAATGGCAAAATAAAAAGGTCAGTGAGAATAACTGGTGCCTGATACAGCAAGAGGATAAAATAAAGGAAAATAGGTCTGTATTTAGATTAAAGCAGCAAAACAAAAGATTTAGGTACACAAATACGGTGCTACCGACTCTCTCAATTTTACTGTGAATCTCACAATACTTGATATTCTACCTGAAGTTCCAGGTCCTGGAGAGGCAATTACAGAAGTATCTTAGTTTTCTAGAGCTAGTTTAGATTTTAAAAAGAAGTTTCGATTCCTCATGGTTGCAGAGAAATTCTTGAAACCATAACTCAAGTATAAATGTAAAGATTCAAATTGGAGGATGTAAATCCCACACCCAACAATTATTTACCACTGTTAACCATCTCATGTATTTTACGCTATTTTTGAAGGCCCGATTCATGGTGGTTTAGCACTTGGCATTAAGAACAATGACTACAGGAATTTGGAGAAACTTTGTGCAATGAAAGGATCACTCTCTGGCAATGGGTCAAAGTCTAATCCCCCCAACAACCGAGGGGATCAAACTTGAACAAAAGAATTACAAACATCCTTTTGTCTCCAGTCTTATCAGTCACAGACTAGAAGGCACATGACATCCAGACACCACATTCCGCTGGGGATGTTCAAATCAGCATAAATGAACACAATAATTTGTATAGCAAGAACTGTAATACCAGCAAAAATTGGCAAGCAAAAGCTTGCTCTCAAAGATGACCAGAGAAAATCTGGATGCCGCACAATTCCACAATGCCATAAGGAAAGAAAGCAGTGGCACGGTGGGATGAGTTTATTTTCCTCTGGCATGAGGAAATAGGATAGATAAGTCATAGCAAATAGTAAAGAAATGTCAACAATGTCTGCAATGTCCTGGTGTCTACAGCTTGGTCTTCCCAGTTAAGAGCAAGAAATAGACTCAGTAGTTGCATATATAGCCCCCAAAAAGAATTCTGTTCAGAGTACCACTGTAATCATAAACGTGTGGGATGGGACTAAGAAGAGTATATCATTATATAACTCTCATCTGGAATCCTGCATGCAGTTCTGGTCACATCAAGAAGGGTACTGGAGAATGAGAGGGGTTCAGAGAAAGGAATGGACAAGAACCTGAGAAAACTCATAGTGAGAAATTGAAAAGACTGATGTTATCTTTAGTAACAAGAGAAAGAAAAGGAAGCATGTGACAAAAAGACATAAAATAGTGAATGTTACAAGGAAGAGGCACCAGGAACTTTTGTTCTCTCTATCTTGTAAGGCAAGATTAAAAGGATATTGAATGAAAACAGAAAGTAACAAATGTAAAACCCCTAAAAGCAGATCATTAAGACTGCGGAACTCAGTGCCACAGGAAGAGGGTGAGAACTTAAATTCAAATACACACATTAAAAATACCCAGAGGTATCATATTTAATGGCATATGACATAAAAAGGGATATTAATACTCAAGATTCAGGGCACTTGCTGATTTCTAATCATTTGTGGTCAGGGAGAGACCGAATGTAGAAGCATATTAGCCCATTGGCTTTTGATGGCACAAACTTGCCCATAAGGTTTTGAAAGAGAGTAGTAGCAGCAGGAAAGACAGCCTGTTTGCTTTACACTAATCACATTCATAATCCAAAGTACTGCCCAGGCACCAAACTTCTGAGTCTCCATGTATGGACAAACGTGTTTGGTATGTTCTTTTCACTTTTCCCTCTCAGGAGTGACAGATAGGGCAAGGATGTCAAATTCATCTGGCCCTACAGGTTGGATGAGGGTCCCTGGGCTGGTCTATGGGATGGACTGCGATCAACCCCTTGTGCAGTGACCATGGTGCTAAGTCCAGACCACATGTTATATACAGCGTGCACCCACTCCAGGGCTTCCTGTGCATGCAGCGTGTGGGGTTTGCATGGAGTTAGACCCAGCACCGCAGTCAGCACAGGGGGCCAGTCCAGGGCGCTACATGCAGCCCATGGCCTAGATGCCCTGTGCAGCGCTGGGTCCAGCCTGTGCATTGCAGGCAGTGCACACACCATGCCAGCCCCATGAATCTCATGCACAGCGAGCACTGGGACAAGCTGCATGCAGTACACAGGGATGGACTGGCTGGCATGCAGCACAGGGGGACCAGCCTGGGGCATATGCTACATGTGGCACCCTGCTGGACTGGCCCTGCATGCTGGCTCCAGTACAGCTAGATCTGGACTGGGCCCAGGGCCAGTGCCCAGGGCTGGTCTAATGGGGCACTACATGCAGCACGCATCCCAGACCAACCCCCTGTGCTGCATGCAGCATGTGGGGTCAGGGCCAGAGATGCACAGGCAGGATCATACGGTTCCATGGGCTGGGCATATGTTTGATGCCTTGGTGCTAAGGCATGGTTGTCCGGGGGAGTAGGTTTGCCATACTGCTTCTTGTTTCTGATATATGGTTATCTTAGAACAAATTCCTGGGGCCAAAAAAGATCCATTGTTGAGCATGAGGGTATGCAGCACCACACTAAGCCCAATATATAAAAAACAGCCTTCTGATAAATAGGGAGGGGTTCAGATGGTGATCTGGTGCTGGATTTCCATGTAGACAACATTACACAGTACATGGACATCCAAAATGTGTGTAGAATTGGCAATTGGTGCAATAAACTATCACAGTACAGAAATGTCCTATACTTCCACTGGGAAACATTTTTATAATATTCTAAATAATTCAAAGAGAGACTGACTGGCTCTGAACTGAGCTTATTGTTCTTTCCATTATGGGAAGGGAGGGTGACTTCTCTGTGTAATGTGTATTAATTAAGTGCTCCTCTGCTCTTTATGGGAATCACACAGTACCTTTCTTGTTCAACTGCAGCACTGAAGGAGGGGGTGTAGCAACTTTCATTGCAAGGCCATAGGCTCCCCGGAATGAGTGGCTGTCTCGAACAATGAATGACCCAGGTTCCTTGTCCTTAAGAACAGCAATGGCTGCAAGGATTCAGGGAGAAAAATGTTTTCAGTCAGGGTAATGAACACACATGTACTGCTTCAAATCCTCCTTGAAAGGGCTAGTAAAGCATGTGAGGCTGTTCTTCCTCCCCGCACCCCAACCTTGGAACAGAGCCAGAACCCTGGCTATTTTGGTATTTATGACAATGCACCTGCATGACCTGACTGGATTCCTCGTTCAAACTGGACAGTATCTTACTCCAAGCACAGCCCGGAGGCTTCACAAATATCTGGTCTGCAGTGCTGTATATATTTAAAGCACTGTCCAAATATTAATTAACTACTCCTAATAATATTCCAGTGAGATGGGAAGTAGTAAGGAAAAGGCAAAACTGAAAAAAAAATCTTTGGATCTGATGGGGGTTTGGGATCCAGGACTGAACTTCCAGTTTTCAGAGACTATGCTAGATAGAGTCTCAGGCTGCCAATGACTGAAGCCCTGATATGAGCTTTTGGTTTTGGTCCATGTTGGAATGTTTCCATTACCATAATTTCTCAAAATTGCAAAGGTCTGACAGGAAAATACAGCTTAAGAAACATTTTTTTCCTGCCTTTGAGGGACCAGATTAGAACTCAGCCAGCAGGGGTATGTTGGCAACTGTGGTTCCTGGCCTGATAATGAAAATGTGCCCCATTCCGCATCGTCAGAAGAAAGCCAGCACTTTCCTTCTAAATTGCTCTGTCCCAGCAGACATGTGCTTTCAGACAAAGAGGAAAATCTGGTTCCTGATGATACTGTGTCTGCTTGTTAAAAAAGTAGCAGGGAATATGGCTACAAGAGTCAGTCTAGCGAGACAACATTGCTTTCTCCTCCTACACAGTGCTGACACTGGGAGAATACTTGTCATTATTCATCAACAAGTGCTGGAAGAAAGTTACTGTCTTCCTTTGATCTCATTTTATGCAAGCAGAGAGATACAGGTAGATGGGTACTTGCTTTTGGAGAGTCTAAGCACTGAAATTCTTTTCCTCTTTGTTCTGTGACCTCTGCTTGGAGGATATGAGCTGGATTATGCACAGTGGGAGGGACTGACAGAGGAACTGCTGCTTGCCTTTGCATCAGATTGCAAAGAAACCCACTCCCAGGTAGCCAAGGTCTTAATCCTTCTTGCAATAACTTTGTTGTACTGTTGCAGTGTCATATAGCAGAGTGCTCAGTGGCCTGGTTCTGAATAAGTTTTTGGAGTATTTCTTTTTTTTTTTTTTTTACTTTATGAATAAATGTTATCCAGCCATAAACATTTCTGATCTTCAGCAATCCTACAAGAAATCCCAGCACTCCTGGATGAGGCTAATGTGGTGAATATGTAAAAAAAATGGAATTCAGGAGGCTGTTTGCATAATCTTTCTAACTTTGCATTAAACCAGAGTTTCCATCTGTCATAGAATTGTTCCTTCAGGCAAAAAGCAAAAATCCACACTCACTTTCCTTAACATTTTTCCTTATAGAATGAGAAAAAAGTAATGATATTAGGTGGGGGAAAAAAGTGAATACTGAAATGTTGTGAAAACAACACACTGTTAGTTTTATGTGTGTTCTTGTGATGTCACCTCATTACTAGGCACAGCAAGTCAAGAATTGTCCTTTGGACACTTAAACACTCAGTATTCTATTGCATGTGTAGGCAAAATAGTGGATCTGGCCAGCAGCAGACTCCATTACCCAGCAGCCCCTGCCAGCATTGCTGAAGCTGGTTTCCATGGAGACCCCACAGCAGAGCCAGGTGGGGCCAGGGTTTCCACGCAGACTGGCCCCAGCAGCACTGGCAGGGTATGCAGCTGGGAGGGGAGCTGCTCCGTGGCAGGGGCTGGGATCCTGCAGTGGTGATAGTGTGGTCTGAAGCTGGGGCACAGCTGCAATCTGCTTCCGCCAAGCCCCTGCCCAGGGTGCGCAGGTAGTGGATCGCAGCTCAGTCCTGGCTTCAGACCACGCTGTCACTGCCACAAGGTCCTAGCTCTGGAGCGGCTCCTCACCCAGCTGTGCACCCTGCCAGCACTGCTGGGGCCAGTCTCTATGTCACGGTGGCAGCAGTGCCGGGGTCTCCATGGAAACTGGTTGCAGTGACACAGGCAAGGACTGCTGGAAAAAACTCCATTCCCTATCCCTATTCCACATGCAGAGTTCAGTAAGACTACTAATGAATGTAGAGCCGAGATAACAAGCAGGTAGCTATTAAAAACAATCTTCAAGAGTTGCATATAGTGATAGCCATATCTTGGCTGATCTACATAGGAGTTTATTCTTGATTCTGACAACAGCAACATTCTCTTTCATTAGTTATAAATGTAAGTATATTTAAAACATAGATGGGAAATTCCATGCTACTGTAGCACTTAAGAGAATCTAAGCAAATGGTAAGTAGCTTTTATGAGGTTGTTTTATGTCCCCTGTCCCCTCAGCTCTCCAAATCCTGGGGACCAAACTTGCCCTCAAAACATGCCAGACTACAGTCTCTGGATAACTTGGGCTAGAAAGTTACCTTCCACCTGGATCAATGGAGAATATTGCACTAGGGACGTGAATGGTTAAATGATTAATCATTTCACCAATCAGCTCAGTGATAACTGGTTATAGCTTACTAGTTATTGGTTATTGTTTACCCTGGGGCTGGGCACAGTCTGGGAGGGAAGGTAAGCCCTGCATTGTCCCAGCAAGAATGCATGCCAGTGGCTGCAGCGGGCTGGTAAAGACCCTTGCTAGCTACTGCCTGCCTCTCTCCTCCCCCTTCCCTCCTGCACTGTTGCAGTTGGCCTGGGGAAGCTGCCCACCGGTGGCTGCAGCCCCTTGCTGGCTGCTGCCCCCTCACCCCTAGGGCTTCTTGGGCTGTGCTGCCTGCCTGGTGGGGTTACTTTGGCCCCCGGCTCCCCATGCTGTTTGGGGTGGATGGCTGAAGCCCCTCCTCCATGGCAGGGTGGGGCTGGGCAAACACTGGCCTGGGAGGCTCTGCATCCCCCTCCCTGACTTTGCAGAGACATGGCCCAGCACTGCTGCACCCGTCCCTGTCGCTGCACTCAATCCATTAATTGTTTAACCTGTTATAATGACAAATATTTATTTAATTGGTATTTACATCTCTATTATTGCACTTGCCTCTCTTGTCCATTCTCTACCATTCTCCAGGATAGCCTCCTTGCCACTGAAGGGAAGTGACTGAATGGACTGGCAGGGCCATGCCTAGATTGTACCATGCTTTTTCAGCTCTTGGCACAGACAGCTTTAAGATCTCTTTGGGTCATTTTAGAGGGGTTAAGAACCTGACCCAAGCTAAAACCTTGACTCCTTGAGTCTTGTTTAATAAACCCGTAATCCTCTAAATTACACTGGCATAAGGGGCTCTAGTCCTCCTAGTGGTGAGACAAAAATTGTTTTTGTACTTTAATCTAAAGCATTTTAAGCATCAAGCTCCAGAAATTTATAGAGAAGGCTCCTGAACAGGCCCTCTGCAACTGTATACCCCAAAGCACACATTACTTGGCTTACCTTGCTCTCTTGAAATATCTGGCTTGTACCAGAACTTGGATGTGTCTTGGACAAATTTTACAGTCACATGCTTATCAGTTGTACTGTCTGTAGAAAAAAAAAAAAAGGAAAAAAAATGTTTTTGCACCATAACTGCAAAGAGAATTTTTTGTTGTTGGTTCTCATGTCTCACAAGGAGATGCTGGTTAGTCTGATTGAGGTGGAAGAACAATGCAATGAGAGTTTGGGGAAGTTCTATACCAAAATGTACACAACATGATACTTTGGTTAATTCCACAAGTGTTATTAATGTTACCTTTCACTGGAGCTATAGATTCTGGACATTCACAGTTATACAGCTATATTAAATAAGGATCTTATCAGTGGCACCTGGTCAAATCTGCACATACCCTGGAGGGCAATAGCCACATTCCAACTACTTCTTGCCATAAGTCTAGCAAGGATGCCAGTAGGACAAGGGAAGTGATTATTCCCCTCTATATTCAGCACTGGTGAGGCCACATCTGGAGTACTATGCCATGACAAGAAATGTAAAACCTGCCAACACATCTCCACCCACCCCCGACAATTAGTACACCTCACAACAGAACCATCAGCATTCCTGGATCTTACAGCTGCACCTCCAGAAATGTAATATATCTTATCCAATGCACCAAATGCCCTGATAGAAAATACGTAGGAGAGACCAAACAACAACTGTGCATCAGAATGAACTCACATCGGAAATCTATCAAAGACAAGAATACCCAATTACCTGCGGGTTCACACTTCTCACATGGAAACCACTTTCTCTCCAATCTCTCAGTTCTAATCCTCAAATTAATTTACAAAACACCTTTTCCCAGATGAGCCTATGAACTTCACTTCATCAACCTCCTGGATACAAAAAATCATGGACTAAATATAGACATTGGTTTTATGATGCATTAAACCTGCCTGACATCTGAGTCCCCAGGTACCTCTCTACTATTTATCAGCTACATTCATTCCCCTTTCCACCCCTCCCCCCCGGCCTGTCTCTCATCCATTGACTCCTCAGTTTACATCTTCACTGATGGCCTGTAGCATGCATATACCAGTCCAGCCTCTGGCTTCTTCACAATTCATTCCATCCAGGAAGAGCACAGCCCAACTGGAAATGCTTCCTCATCCTGATGAAGGGTATTTAAACCTGAAAGCTTGCTAAGAAGAATTTTTCCAACTATCTGAGTTGGTCTAATAAAAGATATCAGATTTACCTGAAGAATCTTGTCTGAAGAGAGGGCTGCACTTTGCTCATACATCCAAAGGGGCTCCGACAAAGCACTCCAGAGTTTTGCTTTTAGAATCAATCTGTCTAATACTAGTGAATGAGTTCCTCTTACTATAAATACTCAGGTGCCATTTTTCCTTTTTTTCTTCTTAATCTCTAAAACCTAGAACAGCCCACTCCCAATTTCCTCTCTCTGACAATAGATATGCCTGGTATCCTTGTAACAGAGAACCTACCTGGCACAGGGGAAGTACTTAAAACTTTAGAAAAGTCTGGCAGGACATTTGGAAATGGGATGCTGATTGTACTCCCACTGTGGGGACTGGAGAAGCCACTGGAAGAAGGGGAGATGGAACCAAAGGAACGTTCTCCTTCAGAAGACCTCTTCTTCTCTGGAAGGGGTGGTTGGGGGTGCAGATTCATTCCGTGCTTTTGCTGAGTAGTGCTGTTCTGGCTGTTATGTCCAGTGGTCATTGTAAGAAAGTTGTGTTCCAAAAACCCATTGTCTTCTTCACTTGCCAGTGGTGAGCTCATAGTTTTGGGAGAACTGTTACTGTTGACCATGAAAGTAGCCTGTTTCTCCTCCAAGGAAGGGCTGCTGCCTACACTGGCTCCACCATAGTTCAGGTAAGTCCGGGCACTGGTTTTGGCAGAAGGTTCTTGTTGCTGCTCTGATGATGAATTTTCTTGGCTGCTCAAGGAGATAACTTGCAGGCCTGGGGATGGGAAAAGGGAGAAGAGAGAGTCTTCCTGCACAGAGCTTGAAAATTCTGAGGGCAAAAGATAACTTCCTGTTGGCCTGTTGTTACCCGTCACTGAAAGCTGGGGTGAATGGGTAGGTCTTTGGCTGCTTAGCCAAGGGTGTTCAGTTGCAGGAGGGCTGTTCAAAAACAAAAAGATGAATCAAATCATTCCCATATGCATTGAGAGCATTTCATTTTACAATGCCTTCATTCCAGTTTTTTGCAGTATCAATAAATAAACTTAACCAAGACAACAATACTTCAGATTTCCATAACACTCTTCATACAAGGATTTTCAGGATGCTTTAATGACATCAGCCTTGCTGTTCTATGAGGTATGTATTATCATACAAACAGGGAAACGGAGGGTGCCTCCAGATGTTTAAGGGCCTTGCTTTAACTCACGGTGCTTTACATAAAATGCCATGAGTTAGAGCTGATGTTCACCTGTTCGGTCGGGGTGGGGACTTGAGCCTGCCTGCACTGGCCCTGACAAACAGGCGGGGGTACTCCCACAGCCTCTGAGGAGGCAGCCAAGCCATCCCTCTCCCCAGGCTCCCTCCTTCTCCCCCTACCCCCAAACTCCAGAGCTGTCAGCAGGGGACAGAGGAGCAGCAGCTGGGCTTGGCCTGGCTGGAGCTTAAAGCGGGGTGCAGAACAGAGCCCCCTCACCTTGTGGGCCCCCCCCAGGTACCCCAGCTGGGAAATTAGGGGGAGCTAGGCTGGACCTGTGAGGTGAGGGGGTGCTCCCTTCCCCCACACCCCAGGCCTCTTTACAACAGCAGCAGCTGCTGGCTAGGCTTGACCGGAACTGGAACAGGGTGGGGGCCAGAGTGGAACAGAGCCCCCTTGCCTCGTGGGCCTGGCTCAGCTCCTCCCAATACGCCAGCCAGGGTAGCTGGGGGTGGACTCGTGAGGCAAGGGGGCTCTGTTCCACCCTGCCCCCACCTCCCAGCTCCAGCCAGGCCAAGCCCAGTTGGTAGCTGTTGTTGCTTTTTCCCCTGTTCTGAGAGCCCCAGGGGTAGTGCTAGATTGGTGCTGGCAGGGTGTGAACACTAGCCCCTCTCCCCTCCCCATGCAAAAAATGAATCCTTGAAGGAACACATGTTCTCTAACACGCTCTGCTTTAGAGCACCTTCATCTAATGCCTCACTTGATGGTAATTTTTTGTGCGATCAGCCATTTTAAAGGCGCTCTGCAGCTGTGCATGTGTATTACATCATGCCTGTAGAGTGCTTTGAGGAGCCCAATAGCATGAAATACGTAACTTGTGTAAGTGCCTGAGGCACCAAGCAGCCAAGCGATTTACCCAAGGTCACACTATATAAGAAACAGCATCAGAATCAGAATCGAGGTGTCCATGTCTTAACCATGACTCCATGACTTAACCATAAGATCATCCATATATGAATGGGGAGGCCTTATTTATGTTCATATAAGAATGGCAAAGGAATAATACAGGACATGCAAGATATAGTACAGAGCACCAGAGACATTATTTTTCTTTCACCTATTGAACAAAATAGTCTAACACTGAAACTAGGATTGTTCCACCAGGGAAGAATTCCACATGTTAAAGTGCAGAACTGACCCAAGAAGCCCCTTTCAGTCCTTTGTTTCTTGTCCCAAAGTTTTGAAAGGTGAAGAGAGTCGCATTTTATTCCATTTTCTAAAAGTCTAATGTGTGAAAACAGCTAAAAAGCTATGGAGAGGGGCTGCAGTTAAGGGAGAGCAAACCTGTAATGCAGAGGCAAAGAGCTTGGGGGGAGGGAAGGATGGGGGAAGAGGGATGGAGTTAAGAATTTAAAAATACAAAGCAGGGATTTAGTTAATTGGGCACTGTGGAAGTCAGGAGCTTTGTACATACCACAGTAGCAGCACCATAACAGATAGAATGGGAATAGAGAGAAGAAAACATCTATACGCAAAAAATCCAGAAAGTATTTTTAAAGCTGAAATGTGACCCCCACCCACCTGAAAAAAAGAAAATGAACAAAGGAACAATGTTTCAAGGTAAAGTTGAAAAATAGGATCTTCAAATTTGATTCTGTAGTGACTTCACATTACCAGTGCTGACAATGCCTGAGGCTGAGATTTTAATTCCAATTCCTAGTTATTTATAATGACAAGTTACATCTACTTTTCAGACAGTGATTGATTGTAACATTATTTATTGGGATTATTATGATTCACAGTCTCTCAAGCCAAAAACATCGTTACCTGAAGGACTAATTTTAAATGAGACCAGAAAAAAGGAAAAAGAAATATAAGGTGCAATCAGTGCTACTCTGACAGGCTGCCTGCTAAGAGTTCAATACTTCAGTCAGTTCACATCAACTGTGGGAGTTCCAAAAATGATGGTAAAAGGCAATTAGTCATGATTAGAAATATGATAATTAGACACTCGGTGATATGGGAGGGGAGATCAACAGCAGGGCATGGAATTTTATGGTGGGCATGGCTGCCAGCACTAGTACTGTACCTCACCTTTCCCTGTAGGAAACCCTGCAGGGGAAGAGCTAGGCAGAGTACTGGACCTCTACTGACTGCAGTGTTCACAACCTTCTTTCATTCATTTCTTCCTTTCCTGTTTGTTGTATCCATTTTCTGCCTCTCATCTTACATTTCCACTGTCAGTTGTTTGATCAATCGATCGATCTCTTTCTCTCTCTCCCTCTCTGTCGCAGAGCACCTCGGTGCTCTGCTCCTAGAGGGGAGAAACTGCCAGGGAGAGAGACAGAGCCCTGGCAGGTCATAACGAGCCCAGCTGAGTGTTGCCAGGGTAACGAGCCCAGCTGCAGGTTGCCGGGGCAACTAAGGAGAGCCAGCTGTCTGTAGGAGGCAGGGCCTGGCCCTTATAAAGCCCAGGGCTGAGAGCAGACTGGCAGTTCCCTGCCAGCAGCTGAGAGGGGCAGGAGCTCCTGGAGGTAAGAGGTGAGCAATGCAGGAACTGCTCTAGCTGAGAGAAGGATGGCAGCTCTGAGAGGTTTGGGCGCCATGGTTTAGCCAGGAGGCTTTATGTTTGAGTTATAGCCAGGAGGCTCTAGTTTATGTTCGGCTTACGTATTAGCCCGGAGGCTTGGGTGAGGCTGTAGGGGTTGGAGGAGGCCACATAGGGACCCCAGAGGTGTGGGGCCCCTGAGCGCAACCAGTGGGTTGCGGGCGGGGAACAGACCCCGGGTTGTATGCGGGGTACATAGACCCCAGCCCCAGAGTGGGGCAG